CTACAAATCTTATTTTATACAAAATTTTTTTCTTCAATGACTTACAAAAATGTACAACAGTCGTTCAAAAAGATGTCTCTCTTCTGTTATGGAAATATTCAACTTAACCACCGAGTTTTCCTCACATTTGCAAAAATTAATGGCCCGGAGAATATCGAAATCGAAAAAATCGAAAAAAAGGAATATTGTTGTATAATATTATTGAATCCGAGCCCTGATCTTTACAAAAAATCTATAGATTCATATCTATATTAAATTTCAAGGAAATTGGTTGATTATTTCTCTTTATATACACAAAAAAGTAAAATTGGGCCGCAAACAGGTCCAGTTCCAGACGTCTGATATAACCCAAAAATAAATCCGTGCCATAGCCAAAATAAACGTACATATGAAATTTCATCAAAATCGGTTCAGGCCAACTTGAGATGCATATACATACCAACAGGCTGACAGATAGACTTCTCCCTAAAAGTTTTTTAGGACAGAGAAACAGAAACAAAATAGCTTATATAACTGCCTAAAGCATTTTAATGAATTACCAAGTGAATTGAGAGAAATGGGCAACCTTTGTACTTTCACTTCAAGAAAATAATCGAACGAATTATTTTTAATAATTGAATACTTATGCTTATAAAATAAATATTATAAAAATACTTTCTATAATAACAGAAAATTTTTATTGAGTTCATATATATTTCATTACCTTATGTTATACTTTTCGATGTATTACTGATTATTATTTTATATGTTTTAATTTTATATTTTTCAAATTAAACCTTTAATGGGGATAATTAATATAATGTTAAATTTTAATTGTAAATTTATGTGGCCAGGCGGCTTTTGAGCTGGGGCCAGGGGAAGAAACTGAATAAAGAAAAAAATTAATCAACAATTTGTGCTTGCTAAGAAAGTTTGTTCAATTAATGATTACCCGCAAACATAATTGAATTAGTTAATTAGTTTTCAAAATAAATTTTATGTTAAATGTACTTATATGAAAACAGAATAAAGGAAAGTAAATTGAGGAATACTCAATACACCGAATTCAAGACTTCTGCAGACAATAGAAAGTTAGGTCGCAATAATATCTCTTATTGCAAATTTTTAATTCTTAAATGAACATATAGAACCATCAGCTACACCAAAATTTTATGGACCTAATTATAAAATTAGGGAAGTTAATTTTATAAAATAAACTGATTATTTGAACTTGTAAATTACTTATTAATTTTCCAGTTGTAAGGAAAAAAAATTTTCAACAATCATTTTATTGGTTACATAACAATTAAATATTTATTACTCTATGATGAGGGCTGCTTTGATACATACATATTCACATATGTAGCAAAAAAAAACTTTAAGTTCGCCTTTAATTTTTTTGTACATGTTAAACAAAAGTCTCATTGGACACAATTTTTACTTTTTAATTGTTACAAATCTTTTTCCAGAAATTCGTATATATACTCATTATATACAGGGTGATTCTGAAAGGTATAAAACAACATACACCATTCATTAGAGGATCGAAAATGGGTAACACATTTGTTCCGGACTGGGTGCTAAACCTCAAGAGTTTCCGAGTTCCAGGGATTTTAACGAATTTTCACGAAATTTTTACTTATCCCAGTATTTTTTATTATAACTTCCGTTCCGAAAAAGATAGGAACTTTAAACAAACAGTTTCTGAAAGGCCTAGTAAGAGTTAAATTTGTTATGCTGTTTGATTTTGTATTTTATGTACCTTCGGAATACCAAGCATTCGAACTCTACGTAAAATCAAATTTTTCACTTATTTGATTTTCCCGTTTTTTTAACCAGAGAAATTCGTAAGAAAGATAAATTCGTAATTTGAAACCTTGAAATTATTTTTATAGAATTGTTCTCAGCTGCTTAAGCTCCAATTTAAGTACTGGAACATTAAAAAAAATTATGGTACATTAGACTAATACATGTTGTTGTATACCTTTCTTAATCACCCAGTATATATAATATATACATATATACATATTTTTATAATTAATAATTTCTTGCTTTGATATTAACATCAATTCTAATTTTATGCCCCCTTCTTTATGTCTCCTTCTTTTCATACTGTGTTTAAATTGTTCGTTCATCAATTTGGTTGGATTTTCCAGATTTTTTTTGCTTATATCAGCTATAAATATTAATATTCAATTTACATTCATATATGAGCTCTTCATAAATAATTCAAAACATATACCATCCATTTAATCATTCTAGATTACAAATCATTTAACGATATATTATAATATATATGAAATGTTATACTTACAAAATATCTTTATTATTTTTATTGTATCGAGTATATTTTATGAATAATTTATCTAAATAATTAATATTTCTAATACTCATATTTGTTATTTAAGGCATCTATGTAAATGTACAAACTGTGTAAATGTGTTTTCTACAATCTTTGGTTGATTTCTTATTGAGGTTGTTCGCAAACTACGTACGGAAGTTTTACCTTTATTCAACATCCTTTTCACGAAAAAGTCTAAATCACCCGAGAAAAAATTTCTCGTTCCAGTATAAAATACGATTCCTAACAAAGTGTTATTTTTCTTTTCTCTCTACAAAACCTTTAAGTAAAATATGAAAAGCTTCTAAAAAGAAAACGAAAAACATTTACAAAAAAATAAAATTTTTTTTATTACAAATCTGAGAAAATTATTAATTTTTTTCCATAATACACTTATTTATTTTTATAATAAAAAGTGTAGCAAAAGATTATTTCCCTTTGCCATGGTGTTTTATTATCAATAGAATCGTCTAACTGTCTAACACCTTCTTCTTAAAGGCAAAAAAAATGTTGCTTTTAGTGTGCAAACTGCGTATTTATAAAACAAAAATAAAACAAAAACGAATTTCTGTATTAAAACAAAAAAAATTCATTTGTAATGGGTTGTTGAATCTACAACATTGAACCTTATAATGTCTTATCCCCAAAAACTAGATTCTCTTTTTAAAATCAAATCACGCTTATTATTATTGTTTTGCTTTTATTTGTTTTCTTTATGCTTGCTTTTCCACCCCATATTATTCTTATATGCTATGTGCGTATACATATACACATGAACATAAATGTACACGGCTTAGTTATTTATGTGTACTCGACCCTTTTTAATAGACTCTTCCTTCGACTTCGAATTTATAAAATAAAAAGTATATAATTCCAAAATATTAACTTGAAAGCCCATACATCTGTAAATGTGTAATGTGTATGTGTAAATGTGTATGTATGTGCATGTTGCACTTGCAATATATTTGTTTGGATATATAAATGTGTAATATTTATTAATATAATATGTATATATACATGTATATATTCACGAAGTAAATCTCGATTTGTGCTCATTTATTATCATTATTCTACAACAGTTATATTCTCCTTTTAGAAAGATGTATTTCCTTTTTGTGTTTAAACAATATCCACGCACCTGTGGTATAGAGTGAAACAGTTTAAATCAACTTAAGATAGGTTCAATTTCAATTAAGTTATAAAATGGTGTAAAATGAGAAAGAGATGGAAACCTGAACATTGTTCATTCATCGTAACAATGAAACCAAAACGTTGTCCATGACAATGAATGGAGGTTTGATTTCCCTTCCATTTGCCCAAAATTGTCAAAATTATATTATACACAAGCACTTCCATTTCTAATTCTGTGTACCAAAATATTTGCTTTTTCTATAGCAAATATTATACTTTATACTTTAACTATAAACTTTTTTAGTCGATCAATTAAAATCCTTAAACTATTTACTGAATATTTGTTATACCGAATTTCTCCTTATTACCACAGATATGTTATATATGTATGTTAATAAAGTAAATTGAAAAAGTTCAAAGTGTCTTATATAATATTATTATGGTACATATTTTATATAAGTATATAGTTAGAACGTTTGAAGAAATTCCAATCTCCGTTTATAAAAATTAATAAACAAGCGGAGAGAGGATGTTTGCGATATGGTTAGAGACAGACACTTTGTGCTCGTATATGTTCGATGGGAAGACTTTATAAGATGTTTTATACGCGAAAAATTCGTATATGCTATATAATTTATTCCTTTTTACTTTATTCCTCTTTTTATGTTCTACGATATCGTGTATTACTTCCCTAGCTTCTTAAATGTTTCAAAATTCTATAGAGCATAATAATAATTTTTATGTTATGTGCAGATATAACAATACATAACAGTATTGTATTAACCAGATATAAGTACGTATACACAACAAAAAAAAAAATTACTAAACCATTAGGCTAATACATAACTTCAATAAAAATTAATCCAAAAATAACAGAAATAAGAAATTAGTTGGTACTATTAATATTTTGTACTCTGTTTGTTGTGGTTGGGTGTCGTAGAATATTGATTTTAAAATTGATGAACATAGTAATGGCTTAGTAATAACACTAATCCTAATCGTATCATAACTATAGAGAAGCACTGCGATATTTAAGAATTTACGTTCCAAGATTTTTTTAGTTTATATTTTATGTACTTAAAAATATTTTCAAACCGTCATATTTTGATATTTGTTAAATACAGCTGTGAAATATTTATTTCAAGAAATGTTATGCCAGTATATAACGAAGTGCAATTTCAAACGCAATATGCAAATGCATATAAGTTTTTATTGACATTATGGGTGACTGCAAAACTAAGCTCAGCTTAATTGAACGGAACTTATTGTATAAGATCCACATGCTTATTACTTCACTAACCACCTAAAGCAAACAGTTCTAGTGTTTATCTATTAACTGTCCTCCTTATTCTCGTTTATAATATAGATATCACATGACTTTTGGTATTAATATACTCCCATATTTAACTAAAATGTGTGTCTCCCATAGTGACTAAAATGGGCAATTATCAATTTTAAATTAAAGAAGTAGCAAATTATAGTAAATTCCCTAATATAATAATTTTTATATACAATTTATTTTAATTAAATTTTGTTTTTCTAATTACAGAGATCTTAGCGGAAATAATATTACAATAATATTTGATTCGGATTTTCAACATTTATCTAGATTGAGAGTACTGTAAGTATTGTAAATTTATGATGTGGCTTTTTAGCACTTTTCCAAAAAAAATTTTTGAAAAAAGTGCTTATTAGTTTCACTCTGTCCGTCCGTCCGTCCGTCTGTCCGTGTGTCTGTTTACAAAACTTCTACACCCTTGAAGATAGGAATCTGAAACTTAATACGTACATAGATCTTTACTAGAAACTAATTTTCGTAGAACATAATGTTTACCTATCTCCCCCCCCCCCCCCCCCTTCTGAAAGTTATACCACCGCAAAACCCTAAAAATACCATTTATTAAACTATTTACTGTAGTGTAACCATATGCATTTTTTTAATTTTTCAAACGCAGAAATATATTGACTGGCTTCCTTTATCGCGGCATACTATACTCGAATTTTAGAAAAATAAAATGGTCGTTAAAATGTACCGTTATCTAAAAGCAGTTTTTTTCAAGTTGTTGATCACGTTTTTTTTCAACACCCTACGTTGTAGGAGCCTGAAATTCTGTTAGACACTTTAGAAAATTTTACATCTGTTAGACACTAATAAATAGTTCATTTCGTTAAAAGAAAATTTTTTTCCACATCCACCTCCTCTCAAGTTGAAATCGTCACTTGAAATTTGTAAAATTTGAATTTTTGACGCCTTATACTTGCAAAACCGCAAGCTTTTTCAAATTTCTATAAACGCAAAAAGGTAACGGTAAATTCCATGACATTAAAAAATATAAATAAAAATAATTTTAATGGTGTGGTAGGTATACATAGATTGTATTTAAAAGAAGTATTTTCACTTGTTGAAGGGAAAAGTGGTACAATACAAACCATTGGTTTGACTCAACTTTATTAGTTTTATATTCTTCTTTGTAGAATTTGAAAAGTTATTAAATTGATATCAATTTTGTATAAAGAAGGAAGACTCATGTTTTGAGCTATATGTTTTCCATTATAATCAGCTTAACCCATAATTCATATTCGACAATTCGCTTCAGGTTCAATATTTAACTTCAGTTTCTACTTTTGTGCACATGAAGTGTGCAATGTTTAAAAACTTAAATTTTACAATTTTTTTCTTAAAACAGGAATTAAAAATTTTTTTTGTGCACTAAAATTTTTGCGGTAAAAATGAATACTTCTAAATCAAAACATTGTAAAATATTTTTCTTATACCTAAACTTGTATCGGCACAAAAATTTTCTAAATTTTAACTCTGTTCAAACTTTACAATATTACAATAATGTACTTTATACAAGGGAAGCGACTGCTTTTATATTTACAAGGCTTTCTTTACATTTCAAACTTCTACTTTACCCACTAACATCTAAACTAACCAAATTTACACTACTAAAATTTAGATATTCTTAAACAAATATTCGTTTAAAATTTTATACTTCAAAAATATTCGTTACAATATAATCAAAAATGGTATTTTTAGAACTTTGAAGAGTTATAACTTTCAGAGGGAGAGATAGGTAAATATTTTCTTGTTGGGAGATGAGTGTCTAGTAAAGATCTATTTATATGTAAAATTTCAGAGGTTTATCTTAAAGGGGGTAAAAGTTTTGTAAAAAGGTGCACGGATGAACAGACGGACTGTTGACAGAGTGACATTAACCGTTTTTCTTTAAATTTTTTGGAATAATCGAACTTATTAAAAATATTAAGAATACAAATTTTAAAATTTTCGCGTAAAAAACTTTTTATTAATATTTTAGTCCCAAAAAAAAATAATTGTTTTTTTATTTTCAGGCAAATAACAGACAACGAAATTCATACAATCGAGAAGGGTGCAATGAATGAGTTAACCTCCTTAGTGAGATTGTGAGTTTTTCGCAATTTTAAAATTGTTTTTAATTCTTTCTGTTTTCTGTTATTTTTAACATTTTTAATTTGGAAGTTTTTATTTCATTTCAAATATTATATACTTATACGGTATTCCCATCAATCTCATGAATGTTATGTATAGTATTTTTTAATTCATTATTGCATAATAAATGATAAAATGCAAACAAAAATTTAATTGATAGAAAATGTAAGAAATCACTATAAATACTTTACAACAATTTTCAATTATGTTTTGTTTTTTAAAATTTATTTTTTTAAGAATTGCAATATTGATTATAATTTTGTTTTAAGCTCTAAATTTTTAAAAATTTCCCAAAAAGTATAATTAAAATTTCTAAAAGTTCATGCTGTATTAATTTTTCCGTTAAATTATTTTTATTTTCAATAATTTCTCGTTCTTCTTTTTATAATTTGTGGATAGTTAATTAAAATTTTTTAATTTTCACTTTAATTTCCTAAAAGTTTTTAAATTTTCATAGATTTCTAAATATGATTTGGTTTTTAACGAAAATTATTTAATTTACCATTAGTTCGTTAATCTATTAAGCGCCGTTATGTTTTAACCTTAATTGATTAACACTTTTGCCTAATATGTTTTGTATTAACATTTAAATGTTGAAATAATTTATACTTATTTAATTATTTTACTTATCTGTAAAAAACTAATTCTAGATTTATTAGAATAATTAATTTTTTTTAGTTTTAATATCTTTTTTGCATTTAAAATAATTAATATGTAAGTAAATAAGTATGCGTAACAGAATCCATTTATAGGAAATAACGTAATTTATGAACTTTGCCGAAAATATTTAGAAAGTTTTAAAATTCCTACAAATTAAATTTTAAAATTACATTCATATATAATTTGAAAACTTTCTTCAACATAAATTTTGAAGTTTTATTTTCTATTCTAAATAAAAATGTAGCGCGGGATATAAGGAACGAAAAATAAGAAACTTTAAAAGAATTTTTGAAAATGTCTACAAGTGTGTTAACTGTCAAATATTCCCAAGGTTTTAAATCTTTTAAGATATTTATAATATTAAAGATACTTTTCATTTTTTTAACTCTTACAAATAAAAAGTAAATTAACTAGGTAAATGCATACATATAGGTAGTATGTACATACATTTACAAGGAAAACTCTTAAAATAAAAAATAACTTGAAAATTGATCGATAAAAACACTTAATTATTGATAATTTTCATTAAACAAATAAAAACAAAAAAAACTACAGTATGGCTATAAATGGATTCTTCGTTTTACATACTCACATTTGTTTTTGATTATAGTTTACGATTATATTGTCAGTTTTTGAAAAGTAAAAAACATATCTGTATAAGATTCTGTCATATTTAAAGTTCCTCTATGAATTGCCACCTAGAAAAATAAAAAAGTTGTTTGTTGCCGGTTGGCATTTTCTAATTATTTCTTAATACATATTACGCGATTGCAGTTTAATCTAATTTAACACTTCTGATTAGTTAGTTTTAAAAGGTATGGAAATGAATGACCAATATGAACAAGTATGTACTTACATTTATATATAAAATAGTGTCAAAAATGTGCCATTTATTGGTTTAATTTAAAATCATTATTTAGCACCTCTTTTTTCGAACTCAAATTCAGAAGAATACAAATATCGAGTTCGAGCATTTTCGTCAAAAAAATACGTCGCTTTACTCCAATAATTGATATATAACTTATTAGTTATTATTGTTCTAATAATATATAAAACCTAAAATGATAACTCAAAAGTTTGAATATATCATGTATAAATGTTAGCTACTTTGTACACGCTCCTCGGAAAATATTAAGTTGCTACCAAAAAACTAAATCTGTCGATTTGAAAATTTCAAATTCAGTCGATAAAAGTGTTTTTATTACTAATAATTTCTGAACATCTGCTGACTTGAAGTCGTATGGAAACTACTCACTAGTTCCATCTAATCCATATTTAATAGATTTCGCGTCATAACTAATAAAAGCGATTTTTTAAAAGTTGATAATTTGATGGGAAATTATTTGGTTGTCGCTGGTACAAGTAGATCGATATGCGGATAGAGGAATCTCCGTTTGTAAATTTAAAACATTATGCATAAATTTATTTCTTAACTCATCAAAACGTTAAAATATATCTTCGTATTTCGTCCAACAGATATCGTATGAATAGATTCTGCTGATAATGTAAAAATATCTAAATTCACACTTTCTAACAAAATATTTTTTATTTAAATGACAGAATTTTTTACATTTCTATTTTATTTTATTAATTTTGCTTTTTTTATTTGGTATTAAATAAAATGTGTGATTAAATTTTTTATCAAAAAAATATTTTTCTTTCTTTTTTTATTGTTTTTTTTGTTTGGTTTTTAAATACACAACAAAAATATAAAATATTTGAAATATATCAAAAACATTATGCATGTGAACAGACGATTGAACAACAATCGACTTAAGGAAATTCCTGAAAATTTTGTTACGAATTCAGCAAATCTTTTGCGATTGTAAGTAAATTTTAATAATTTTTTTTTTAATTTTTTTATGTTTTAAATGTTTCTTAAAATCTACATTGTTTACCAGTTCTTTACTTTTAATTTAATTTTAAATTTATATTTTTCTAATTTAATTAATTTTAAAATATTTTCTTTCAATGCATATTTTAGGAAATTTTTATTTTAAATTTTATATTTGATAAATTATGTAAAATTATGTATATAAATATGGGCTCTTTTATAACTACAAGATATGCACACATACATTAACACATACACTGTATTATGACGGTTAACAAATTTAGAGTTTTATTATACATATTTTAAAAATAGTAAATTATTACTTATTATAAAGCACCTTAATTTTTATTATTTTTTATTAGAAGTTTGAGAGTGTCAAGTTGAATAAAATTTGAAAAATTATCATAAACAAAAAATTTTCTTTAAATTTAGATGCAAGTAATTTTTTATTTTAGATTTGCAAAAAAATATTAGCAATTTATTATTTGATTTGCTTTCAAATTAATGAATTTTTCCTAAAATGCTTTTTAATTTAGATTAGTTTTCCTTACTTTTTTGCAAAATTAAAAAAAATTAAAAGTGAGATTGATTGGTTTAATAAAATACAATTTTTTTTTCTTTTATTATAAAAGTTCAAAATGTTTTATTACCTATGTACGAGTATAACGTCTTTCAAATATTTATTTAAATTTATCTATATCTAAAAAAGAAATAAGTAAAAAGGAACAATTTTTAACGCACATTATAAAACACTCGTCTTTATGTACTTAGTAAGCGATAAATAAGTTTCGCTAACAAACCGATGCATACACGAGAAAGCAAATGATCAGACAGACAAATAACTAGGGCGAGTAACGTGACTAAAAATATGACCAAAATAAAAGCTTATGAAAAAAAAGGCTACGAATAACAGAATGATTACATAAAGAAAATAATAAAAATCCATTATTTTCTACTCTCAAAAAAAAGAAAAACAAAAATACATTTTACATGATTGTATTTCTTATTATATAACTATCCTTATTAAAATAACAGTATTGCTGCATTTTTAAGTATTAGCCCAACACGTGAATTTTTGTGCATCAGAAAACACGGTTGCACACATTGTCCATCAGAGCAAGTAAGTGGACACATACATGCCATGATTTTTCATTAAATAAAGATTCGAAAAAAAGTATTTTAGTTGTATACAATTAAGTTCAATTTAAATTATATAAAACGCCATTTTTGGTATTGTATAAATACCAATTTCCAATTACTTTCTCGGGCCTCCACCCTCCACTTGTAAACATTTTTTACATATACATATACAACTATAAGCAAATGCGTTTCTGATTTTGCAGCACTCAAAGAGTTTAATGTTTTATTATTGTTTACAAATTTTTCATAACGCATTTGCATGGTATTACCGTAAAATGCATAAAACCAAGGGAACTAAAGGGAACTTAATTGAAAAATTATTAGTGCATACATATTGTTAAAAAATATAAATTAACAACATTTTTTTTCAGATAAATATTAGAAATAATAATTAAAAAGTTAGATGATAGGGCCTAACAACCATTTATATTTTTCTTACTTTATATCTTCTGTTTTATATTTTTTTTCTTCTTGGGTTCTTTCCTTCAATTTTTTCTTGATTGAAATAAATTTCTATTCTATATTTTTGAAAATATTCATATATTTTTCTATATTTTTAAAAAATTTTTATCTTTTCAATAACCGAACTTTTATTAAATTTTCCTTAAATTTTCTTTATTTTGTATTCTGATGGGGATTTTGAAAATTTTTGCAATTATTCTCAACTTTTATTTGCTTCAACTACAAATTTTACATAATTATATGAATAAAATCATTCAGAGATTTATCAAACAATGAAATTCGTGCGATGCCAAGAGGCATTTTGAAAGGTGCTGTGTCATTGAAAACTCTTCAATTGGACAACAATCAAATAATGTGTGTTGATGAATTAGCATTCAAAGGATTATTTGATTTAGAAATATTGTAAGTATAGTATTAAAATTATTTAATTTTTGGCTTTATTTTTAATTCTTAATTTAAATATTTAAAAAAACTGAACGTCGATGTAATTCCAATTTCATTTTGGTTTCATTTCAGAACTTTAAACAACAATAATTTGACACTTCTGCCCCAAAATGTCTTAAATGACTTGGATAGTTTGAGAGCATTACGATTATCAGAGAATCCATTTGCATGTGATTGTCATTTAGCTTGGTTATCAAGATTTTTACGCGCTGCACCATTATTAACGACCGGTCACACAAAATGTCAATCACCAAGTCAATTAAAAGGACAAAATGTTGCTGATTTACCGGATCAAGAGTTCAAATGCTCTGGTAAGCAATTTCGTATAAATACTAATTATTTGTGCAACCTGATCATTGGTGCCGTGGTTGAGACACTGTTCGTTTAATCGAAGGGTCTCGGGTTCAAACCACGATCAGGTTACTATAAAAATTATATTCTGCGGTCGATAAAAAGGAAAAGAAATGACAACAAAATAGTCTAATTTAACGGCAAATTAGATAAATACATTTATAATTATATATTTCATTGGCAAGACATTGATCAATAGTTTTTGGTCTTCGTAAAATATTAGAAATTTTTGCAATTTCCAGCATTTTACAGAAAAATAAGGTGCGGAAAATAACACTATAATAAATTGTAAAAAAATAACATTTTTATGAATTTGAGGGCTTTTTCAAAGCAGAATAGAAATGGATAGAATTTTAGCCTATTAGAGAAATAAGTTTCCTGCAGAAATCTATTTGTATATAAAATTTTATCTTTCTATCTCAAAAATTGTAAAAACCTTGTAAACAAACCAAAAGCGAAGATGTGAAGTTTTTTATTACAAACATTGTTGTTTAACCCCATCTTTAGTAATTTTTTTGTCTGAAATAGGCAAACATGCTTTTCTTGTACTTCTTTCTATTGTTCCTTTTAATATACATAATACATAAATTTTTACTGAAATAAATGTTAATGAAGGTTTTTGTTTTCGACATGCTGTTTTTTAGGTTTAGCAGAAAATGCACCTTTAGAATGTAGTATGACCAGTAGCTGTCCACATCCCTGTCGTTGTGCCGATGGTATCGTCGATTGCCGTGAGAAAAGTTTATCAAATGTACCGAATTCACTACCTGAAGATGCAACAGAGCTGTAAGAATTTGTTTATACTTTCACATTCTTTCAAAATCAAAAATGACATTTAATAATAATAATAATAATAACAATAATAATTTACTTCAAAGTATTAATAAAGTAAATTTGTTGAAGTATTTTTATTTGTTAAAATTAACTTCTAAATACATATTTTTGCGTTTCTTGTTTTATTTTTTGTAGGAGGCTAGAACAAAATTATATTACGGAACTTCCGCCTAAAGCATTTGCAAATTTCCGCCGCCTGAGACGAATTGATTTATCGAATAATAATATTTCGAAAATTGCGTATGACGCATTTACAGGACTAAGCCATTTAACAACACTGTAAGTATATTTAATAGAAATAAAAAATAAAAATTTCTTCATACAACAGAAGTTGGCAAATGAATGAGTCGAGGCAGAAAAACTGAAAAGTTTTCTTTTCGAAATGAACTTGAACTATTGACCTACCACTTCTAGGCAAACCCTCTACCAGCTGAGCTACAGAAATATAAAGAAATTTTAAATTTCTAATTTTATAATTTTAATAGTTGTCCATATTGTTTTGATGCAGCATTCATCAGCAATCTCACATTTCTTACCATGACTAAGGAAGTAGTTAGCAAAAATGCATGATAATAAGCCTTGCGGTCGGTTATTATCACATTAGAATTTTTTTAAATCAATTTATTTTAAATGTAGCCTCGAGACTTATTCGTTTCATAAATAATTTATCAGACCGCCATTCTTTTATATCATTTGTATAAAATTAAAGCTAGCTATATGATATTTGTTTTGGAATTTGTTTGTGTAGTATTCTCAGTTTTATAAAAAAAAACGGGATGACAAATCTAATGCTTCTCAGGGAAAAAATTGAACTGCGTTATTTTTAATTTTTGTCTCGTGGAGGACATTCTATGAAGTTTTTAGCACTTTTCCAAAAAAATTTTGAAAAAAAGTGCTTATTAGTTTCACTCTGGCCGTCCGTCCGTCCGTCTGTCCGTGTGTCTTTTTACAAAACTTCTACACCCTTGAAGATAGAAAACTGAAATTTAATACGTACATAGATCTTTACTAGAAACTTAATTCCGTAGAACAAAATTTTTACCTATCTCCCCCCTCTAGAAGTTATACCCCCCCAAAACCCTAAAAATGCCATTTTTTAACTATTTATTGCAACCCCTAGCGTGATAAACTATAGTTAAGCTTTAGAAAAACAAAATGGCCGTTCAAATTTACCGTTATCCAAAGTCCGTTTTTTCCAAATTTTTGATGTCGTTTTTCTTCTAGACCCCAGCCTGTAGAAGCTATAAATTTTAGGGGCTTTTAGACATTAACAAATAGTTAATTTCGTTAGAAGAAAATTTTTTTCCATCTCCACCCTCTCTCAAGTTATCGCCTCTTGAAATTTGTAAAATTTGAATTTTTGACACCTTATATTTCTGAAACCGAAAGCTTTTTCAAATTTGTATAAATGCAAAAAGCTAACGGTAAATTCCATGACATTAAAAAATATAATTATTTTTCTTAACTCACACAATTAAATCTTAAAATGGAGCATTATGTTAGTACCCCCACTTTATACTAATTTTTGCTTTATTTCAAAGACTGCATATATGCAATCCTAGAAATAGTTTTGTGTATGAATGAAAATAATTTTAATAGTGTGATAGGTATACATACAGTGTATTTAAAAGCAGAATTTTCACTTCTTGAAGGGAACCACTTTACTATTTTAAATAAAATTAAAATCATACTTTTTTAGATTTATTACAATTTTATATCCTTTTTTACAGAGTTCTTTATGGAAATCGCATTAAGGATCTACCTGCTGGTCTTTTTCGAGGATTGACAGCATTGGAATTGTTACTATTAAATGCAAACGAAATATCATGTATACGAAAGGATACATTTATCGACCTATTTAATTTAAGTTTATTATCTCTATATGATAATAATATTCAGTCACTGGCTGATGGAACATTTGAATCTATGAAATCTATACAAACACTGTAAGCTAATATAAAAATTAATATTTGTAAACGATTAAATTAAAATTTATCACAGATGATGTAAAACACTTATGTCACATAAATTTTAAGTCCGATTAGAATACCGAAAATACGAAAACTTAAATTTTCGTCAAAACCTGTAAAAAACACTTTCTTTGAATAAGTTTTTTGTTTTCGGAAATTAAAAGTAAAATGTAATTTCTTATCAAATCATTAAAATTACAATTTTTTGATTTTTGTACAGACACTTGGCAAGGAACCCATTTATGTGTGACTGCAATTTAAAATGGCTAGCTGATTATTTACATAAAAATCCTATTGAAACTAGTGGTGCTAAATGTGAGGGACCAAAACGTATGCATAAAAAACGTATTGAAACATTAACAGATGATCAGTTCAAATGTAAGTAACTGGTAATTTTTCTATATTTAATTCCTAATAATATTCTAGTATTATTATTTTACCTATAAAAATAACTTAAAAAGATACAAAATTTTGTGTTGATCTTTAATATAGAGTTTGGGAAGCTCTAGTAGTTTAGGGTGATATCCTATATGAACATTTATATTAATAAGAATTAATCAAATTACCACTCTGATTACGTATTATATTAGTCATGGAATACTATTATATTGTATTTAAAATAATTCCAAATGTTTAAAAGTTTAAATAAAAATCAAAATTGATTTCAAATTTTTCAGTCAATTAAGTACTAAATAAGTGCTGAATATTTAAATAAATTAGTTATTAGTTCCACTCCGCCTGCCCGTTCCTACGTTGAAAAAACCTCTATACACCCTTGAAGATAGAAAATTTAAATTTTTCAATTTGAATAAATTAATTTTGAATAGTTTAACATTGAAATGATAAAATGTAGTTAAAACTAACCATTATGTCAAACCGGTGTTTTTAATATCATTATTCTCTTAGACGCTAAGTTGAAGAAATCTGCAATGCCTCAAAGCAGCTTTATAAGTCCTTTTTTGGAACTGACGTTGTAAAGCAAAAAAAAAATTCAGCATGTTAAAATGTTCTGGATAAATTCTCTGTTTCTCGGATTGGTATGTGACACCCACTCTGTAACAGATAGTTTTACACATTTTTCTTCTTATAATACAGTGAAACATCTCTTTCTCGTACTCTCTATAAGACGAACTTTTCTTTACCTCGAACTATTTCTGTTTACCTAGCGCATTGAAATATGTTTTCATATATTTTATATCTCGAACGGTTTTATGTCATTTCGACGAACAAAGTTTCTTTATTTCGAACTAAGAAGTAAAACAAAAAAAAAGCTTGCTATATTATTATGTATGCATGTGTTTTTGTTTTTACAACAGAGTGTAGTAAAAATTAATAAAAATAACTGTACATTTTTTGTAAGGTGTGTGTGTAATGTAAGTGTAGCTATTACTTTACATAAACTTTTTCATTAATGTCGAGAGGTTTTAAATTCTTGAACGAATTAAAAATGCCAGCAAGAAAATTAAGTGTATAACTATTAATTAAACAAAAGATTAATTTAAATAGTGACGCCGAAAGTGGTGTAATAAGCACATTCTTATTAATTCCGCAACTATGATATTGTATTAGTAAAATTCATAATTTAAAAAAATCTTTGTTTAAAATACAACTTGGCAAAAGGTACGTTGTCAACAATAGAAAAAATAAAGATTTTATCAACAACTTGTTCAGTCATCATTTCTTTAAAAAAATATTCAGAAACTATAAAAAATTCGAGTTTAATAAGTACATTATAATAGTCACATTATTGTAATATTTTGTTTTTTATTTTTTTATGATAAGATCATATTATTCTTATTAAATATATAAGCAAAAACCAGTATATTTTGTATTATTTATTGAGAGTCCCTCTATCTCGAACTATTCTCCGACATTTAGAAAGTTCCAGATATTCAAGATATAGAAATTCGGTGGTTTTTAACGTAGTCGTACAAACACCGATGATGCTGAACGCTTCGGTCGCCCAAATTCGGCAGTTACTAAAAAAATCCATAAAATCGTCTTATCCGACAGCAAATTGAAATTGAAGATTTCCGAGGCCGTAAAGGTATCATAACACAGTGTGTTTACATTTTGGTATGAGAAAACTTTGTTCGAAATGGATGCCGCTTTTGTCACCGGATCAATAACAGCGAATTGATGATTCTGATGCATGTCTGGTCCTATTTCATCGTGATAAAAAGAATTTTTTGCGTCGCTACGTGACAATGGATGAAACATGGATCCACCATTTCACTCCTAAGTCGAATCGACAGTCGGCTGAGTGGCTGAGTGGCTGAGTGATGCTCCAAGGAAAGAGATTTGGATCGAATGAGGAGCTCATCGTCGAAGCTGAAGCATATTTTGAAGGAAAAGATAAGTTGTTCTACAAAAATGGTATCGAAAAGTTAGAGAAGCGCTGGAATGACATAGCCTTAAAAGGAGACTATGTTGATGAATAAAATCAAATTATGTCAAAATGTTGTTGTTTTATTAGCCATCCAACGGACTTATTAAGCGATGCGTTAAACGTTTCTATATATGTAGATTAGCACATAAAGTGAATCAAAAATTTCTTTTTCATAGATGTTCAACGGCATTTTAAGTAAATCCTTGACTTTTCTTCTTCAAAATTTAAAGTTTTGAAGCAAAATTTCGTAAAATTTTCTCTTTTTAAAGCTTTTTTTTAAAGCCCCTTCCAATCAGGTTTCAAATTTTCCAATCAAGTTACAAATTTTTATAAAATCAATTTCCCATCTAAATGTCCAACAAATTGTCAATTTTGAAAGACAAATGATAGAACAAGATTCGAATTAATCATTTTGTTAGCAAATCAAATAAGTTTTTAAATAAAACACAGTTTTTAAAGAAAACAACTTTCAAGATAAAAGAGTAAAATGTTTTATATTAAATTTTTATTTTATTTATCCTTTAATTATCCCTTCTAATGACCCAATTTTTGAAATTTTCTCCCACTTTTAAATAATTTTTTTTAATGTTCTTTTTTTAAATTATTTCTTCTTTATATTGCTTAAAATTTTAATACTTTTCCCTCTGTTAAAATTCTCTTATAGCTTAAAGGCTATTAGCAACCACTCCTGCTTCGCTGGTCTTTTGGCTTTATTTAATTAATTTTTTTCTTAAAATGTCTTTTATATCTCTTTTTTATCTTTTTGAAGACCTCACCATTCACAATGTATTATCCAGTTCGCATATTATTGTTTATTCTCAATTTCGAAAGCTAAACGGAGTGTAACGATGACTAAGTGATTTTGTTTTCTTTTTTTTCTATTTTATTTTTTCGTATTTTTTTATGAAAACAAAAAATTTGTTTTTATTTAATATTTTTAATTTAAAACGAAAAAAAAAATTTAATTTTATGCACAACTTCATCGAAGTAGCTTGCTAATGCTGTCAATCTATTATTTAAGCTTCCACGTTGGTTAAAAACATGTGATCAACATGGCAAATCACAATTAAACTTTTTCTAATTTTTTTTCTAAACTGCATATGTATGTAGATTCACACTTTTAAAAAAAATAAAAACTTTAATGCTTCCCAATTTTTTACATTTTTAGGTACATTAGAAGAGGAAGCACGTACCAAATATGTGGGAGATTGTCGCGCTGAAACAGAATGCCCAGCACGTTGTAGTTGTGATCGTACAACAGTAGATTGTTCTGCAAGAGGTCTCAAAGAAGTTCCGCATGATATTCCACAGTATACAACAGAATTGTAAGTTTATATGTATATAAATCAACATTACAGTATACACATGCAGAGCCGAATTTACTATGTAGGTATGCTAATAGGGCTTGGAATTTTTATATTGGGCGAAAAATGTGTAGATTATCAACTACTTGTCTTAAATAACCTTCTTAGTGGGAAAATTTTTTTAATACATAATAATTATACATAGGATATTCAAACAATAAGAAATTTTTACCAATTTGACAAACCAAAACACAAGATTAGAATTTTTTTAGCGGTTCGGATTAGTTAGAATACAAATTGGAAAATGCTTTTCTCTCTTGGCAGTTGCTCGGTCAAAATGGATAAAAAGAATGTTTTGAGCTTTTGGTGCAAGCTGTGTTGTAGAATACCCTGTTGAGTCTTCCCATAAATGCAGCACTGTATATGTATATGTAATGTTTGTTTTATTCTATAGTCACTGTCCTGAGGCTAAATGTATAAACTATACATTTTTTTAAAAATCATTAAAGGACAATGAGAGCTGCTCTCCCTATGTGGTGGCCTTATACTTACCAGGGCAGTGCTATAGTTATCATTCTATTTTCTAAAGTTTCAACCACTTATAAATAAAATACAACATTATCTGTTTTATTTTCCAGGTTACTTAATGATAATGAATTAAGTCATATTAAATCAAATGGAGTTTTTAGTAATCTACCTAATTTAGTCAAATTAGACTTAAGACGCAGCCAAATAATAAGAATTGAGCCAAACGCATTTAAAAACGCTACAACCGTGCAAGATTTATTATTGGGTGAAAATAAAATACGTGAAGTACATAAGAAAATGTTTATTGGTCTGGATAATTTGCAGACGCTGTAAGTACTTTAACTTGAAGTAAAAAACTAATTAGATTAAAAATAAAATCTTTTCAAAAACCTGTGTTTAAAGATCTTCAAATATAAAGTTTGTAAAAAATATGCTCTTTTTAGATCGTTATACGATAATTTGATTTCGTGTGTTATGCCCGGATCGTTTGACTCTCTTACATCTTTGCACACATTGTAAGTACAATTATATTCGATGGATTGAATAAGAAACCCAAAATACAAATGAATAACAAAGAAATATTTACGTGTGCTTTTTCTTTCTTTAGAAACTTGGAATCTAATCCCTTTAATTGCAATTGCCATTTGGCGTGGTTTTCAAATTGGTTAAGGCAAAAAAATTTTATAGGAGGAAGCCCCAGATGTAATTATCCTGTTGAAATTGCTGATGCTCACGTTAAAGATTTACCAGTTCATGAATTTAAATGTACAATTGAAAATAATGAAGGTTGCTTAGGTGAAGGATATTGTCCATCAGCCTGTTCTTGCATGGGAACTGTTGTGCGGTGTTCTAAAAATCGTTTGGAAGAGATACCTAAAGGAATTCCAGAAGAAACAACTGAATTATTTTTAGAAGGAAACGAAATCATTGAAATAGATTCATCTAGAATTGAGCATTTAAAAGCTTTAACAAGATTGTAAGTATTTAAATTATTATTGACAAACCGAAAACGTTTTCTTCGATGGTTACAATTAAATAATGTTTTCAATTCAACAGAGTTGTTTATTCACTTATGATATATTTACTCAATTACTCAAAACTCCAAAATATAATTTTAAATATAGTATCATTTATATTACTGGTCTCTTTTTTTCCCATTACAGGGATCTCAGCAGCAATCACATCTTAATCTTACCAAGCAATGTATTCGAAAATTTAACAAAGTTATCAACATTGTAAGTATTTGTAAATCTTGAAAAGTATTGAAATTTATTCTTAAATCATAAAAAAAAATTTTTTTCTTAAATTTTTCAAAATTTTCAATTTTATATTTTTTTACAGAATTCTGTCAAATAACAAAATTCAGTGCGTTCAAGAACATGCTTTTATTGGGTTAAATAATCTAAGAATTTTATCATTGCATGGAAACAAAATATCAATGATATCAGAGGGAACTTTTGAACATTTAAGATCAATAACGCATATGTAAATATTTTTATTTTGTTTAATAAAATGCAACATAAATTACCCTTAAATAAAAGGTTTAGTTGGTATAAACGCGAATAACCATTTACAATAAATTCGTACACAAAAATTAAGAAAAAAAATAAAATAAAATTACTAACTAATTCACATTCTAGCGAATTAATTTTAAATAATGAATTATGCCTTCTTAATATCTTTTTAGTGCACTTGGGAGCAATCCACTGTATTGCGACTGCAATTTAAAATGGTTTTCAACTTGGATAAAAACTAATTATGTTGAGGAAGGTATTGCAACCTGTCAAGGACCACCATCAATGATTGATAAAATTGTCTTGAATACAAATGTGGAACAATTTTTATGCAATGGAAAAATAAGCAATGAAATTTTAGTAAAATGCGATCTCTGCTATTCATTTCCTTGCCAAAATGGTGGTATGTGCTTCCCATCAACTGATGGAAAATTAGAATTTGAATGTAAATGCCCATCTGGTTATTATGGTAAACAATGCGAACATAAAATTGATGCATGTTATGGTAATCCATGCCGCAACAATGGTAGTTGCAGTCTGTTCGAAGAAGGTCGATTCATTTGTCGATGCCTAGCTGGTTATGCAGGAGAAAGATGTGAGCAAAACATTGATGATTGCTCAAAGAACATGTGCCAGAATAATTCAACATGTATTGAAGGTACAGAACGTTACACTTGCCGTTGCCAACCAGGATTTAGAGGTAAACTTATTACTTACTTGAATGAATTCCCTAAGTTATTAAAATAAAATCTATCACTGAACGAATATTTTTTATTCTTTTTTAGGAGAATTTTGTGAAACAAAAATTGATTTCTGTCATCCATCAAATAATCCTTGTGCAAATGAAGCTAGATGTCTTGATCATGGTACTCATTATTCATGTGATTGTCAACCAGGTTTTTATGGTCGTAATTGTACACAAACAATATCAGTGGTTCATACGAATTCTTTTGCGGAAATGGAACCGTTACGTACAAAATTGAATGTACGTAATGTTACATTGACATTCAATGGTAACAAAGTAAATGACTTAACAACATCACCACCAGATTCACCGGGACAAGAAAAAAAAACGGAAGAATTAGCTGTACAAATTATTTTACCAATAATGCTTGTATTAATGCTGGCAATTATTTTATTTAGACCATGTGAAATTGGAGCTCAAACAGACTGAGAACAAGTGATACTTTTAGATCATAATAATTCAAAAGAATCTCAAAATGGTGATGATAATTCTACTGATAATGAATAGAAATGCAACTTTCTTTTTTTTTTTGACACATTAAAATGTAATCAATTTCCTCTAACAATCGGTATATATTACGTATGTTAAGATATAAATTCAGATAATTTCAATATTTGTATATAATGCAGGATAAAATTGTGGAAATTTAGGTACAGCTTTGAAATTTTGAAGTCAGCGTTCAATTAGATTCTCTAAAGGGCTTCAAAGTACTCATTTCTTGGATAAACAATTTATGATAACTGTGCATGAGAAATTTGCATATTTATAAAAATCAAATTCTATTTCTTTTAACCTCATACACCGTTAAAAAACAAGAAGTTATGCTAATATAATTGGAATAAAACAAACATTTCAAAAACTGAAAAAGGAAAACTAAGTTTCGTATCATAATTGTCATTCCCTTCAATATTAACGGAAAACCAAATTTAACTTAGCATTTCCAAACTAACTCAATATATTCGTTATAGCCATAATATCTATGGGTTTTTTGGAATGGTTTTCAATATTCTCAAACTAAAATACATAAATTTTGTAATACAAAATTTTTAATTATTTTTAAAATATCAATTTCCCATTTTTAATTCTTCAATTTTTTGGATCATACAGGGTGAACAACCAAAATATATATGTATGTGTAAATATATTTTTAAAATGGCTGTAAATAAGAAATTTTTTCAATTATGGGAAAACCAAACAAAAAGTGCATTCGATGTTTTTATTTTAAACGTTGCAAATTACCAAAACGTTTTCTTGAAAGGTTGCGACTATTATAGATTAAGACACTAAATCAAAAAAAAACAATACAGTGCCGCAAGGCATTAAATAAAGTCAATAAAGAAAAAAAAATTTATTTTAATAATGAAAAAAAATATAGGAAATAAAATATATATGTATGTATATGTAAAATACATTGTAAAACAACAAAATAGAACTGTTCGAATTTACTAGTAGCAAACTAATAAAGAAAAAACTATTAAAAAATACAAATAAAAACTACAAAACTATGTAAAAATGCAAAAATTTAATTAATTTAAAGATATTTAAAAAAATGGACTAATTATTATTTATGAAATGAACTGTCTTTAAACAATTAATTTAATCATAATATATATAAATAATTATTTTAAAATTAAGGATATTACAAAAACAAAAACTATGTTAATATAAATATACTTAATGTATCCCATAAAAGTAAATGCAAAACATGACTAATAACTGTCAAGCACTTTTTTAAATAAAAGAATAGCTTATGTGAAAATCGTCGCAGAGCTTTTAAAATTCTCCGGTGACATCTTAATATGTGATTAATTTCTAAGACTATTTTAGTTTAAAAATCTAAGATATGGAGAAAAATCAAAATTTTCAAAAAACTAATATATGTATGTATGTATATATAAAGAAACAAAAACTTATAAGGAATTCCTAAACTATAGTTCTTACTTAAATATGATTTCTTTCCTAAATGGACTCAATCATTTAAAAAGAAAATGCTCTGTAAATTATTGAATATCTTCATATGAACACAATATTAAGGCCTAAAACAAAATTGAAAGTCAGTTTTCTCAAAGGAATTTTACTGCCAATAAAATTTTTAATTTAAAATTCAAAATTATTACAAGGATACGTTTGTATATTTGTATTTTAATCATAATGAATAGTGTATTGTGTTATTTGCTTTAAATATTTAATTTAAAAAAAATTGATTAGAAATTATTTATATAAAATGACAAAAAATATTTGTGATTGTAAAATTAAAATTATTTAACTATATCAAAATTAAACCGAAATTTTATAAAATAATTAAGGGAATTTTTCGCAGTATTTTTGTAAATAAATATTCAAAAATAAGAATCCGTACATTAAAAATTAATTAAAATAAGTAAATAAATATAAGTTTAACATAAATTTTAAAAAAATATTAATAGTAAATGCAGGAAACCATTATTATAAATAGTAGCGTTGAAATATTCAAATAACAAATTGAAAATTGCCTTCGATTTTATTATCAAGCATCATACTGTTTTAATAGTATATTTGACAGTAACAATTATGAAAACTTTGATAGTTCAACAAGAAAATTTGAAAACCAACTAAACAAGTATAAATAGCCTAAAAACAATTTTTGTTTGGAAGTGAAGTGCTATCGAAGAATATCATTTTCAATTTGTATTTGAAAATGTATAAACAAACTGTGACAAATTTTTATTTTAAAATGCAAAATTTAAATATAAGTTGCACGAAAAAAAATTCATTGAAAGGGCATAAGTAAGAGTATTTTAACAGGAAAAAAAGTATAGAAACATAAAAAGGAAATCTGTAAGGCGGAAAATTTCTTTTAATTGAATATTCGTGTCATTTCAGTCAAATTGGCTGGGCTTAAGAGCTTAAGTACCTGTTATATAAATTGTAATTATTGTAATATAGTTAAAACATATAAAACGATTAATTATTTTATTGAAACTAGAAAGCAAATATTTAATTTAATATTAATTTACTTTAAAAAAGTATATATATATATATGTATGTAAGTATATGTAATAATATAGTTAGTTATACGACCTAATTTAATTGATTGTATTATATAATAAAAACTTATTAAGCATAACATTTCACCATGTCTAACAAAACTACAAAAGCATACAAAAAATTAAAGGAAAGAATAATTATCATAAAAAATTCAAAACTAAAAATAATTTTTTTTAATTGTTGTTTAGTTTTAAGTTTTTTTTTTGTAAGCATTTTGTTATAATGAAAGGAAAAAAATAAAAAAAATATATATACATTATATAAAAAAGCAAAATAAAAAAAACAACGCTAAGAATAAAATTTTTAATAAATTAAATTGCGGCTTTTATATTTTTATTTGAAATTCTTGTGCCGAAATTTGCTTAAAGCATCTTATTCATTTCAAAGTACATTAAAAAGTACGTAATTAACATATTATATTACATATGTATATTCGATAATGCCATTTAAGAAAATCGCAGAATTGAGAATGTGTACATCTATACATTATACATTAGCATACGAGGCTTGCGTTATCGTTACAGCGTAAAAGTTTTTCTTCTATAGAAGCTACAGTCACAATAGATTCTAAAGGAATCGATTGAGGAAGGAGTATTTTCCGGGCCACCGGAGACAACGGAGGGAGTTGAACAGCAGTTCCCGAACGCTTAAGAAACCCTGTCCAAACATTTGCCGGCTGCCGCCAGACAGCCAGTACCGGGTAGTCGCAAAGGATGTGCACAGCAGTTTTATCACTGTGCCCGAAAAACTTTTTCTGGGCAGAGCCGGATTTCCCCAGCCCATACAGGTGCACAGTCACAATATTTACACACTTTACATATTTACTGAATTTTCTAGATCGGAGATTGAGTTTATTCAATTATATTTTAATTGTGTAATCTACGTATACATTAGAACTAAATTTTAATCCGAATTTTTGTTTATCGTAACTGAAAATAACCGATGACGATTATATATGCAAGCATACACATATATACTCGTATACAGGGTGATTAAGTAATCAGTGACATAAAGTATACCATCATTAAGGGCATCAATATTTTATACCAATGTTTAGTAGTACACATTTTTCTTTTTATACTAATAACTTCATTTCAATATTACAAAAAAAGCACACAAATATTTCAGTCTTACAACAATATTATCATAAAAATTGAAAAAGTTAGTTTGGGAAAATTTCTGGTACTGGTATTAATTTGCACGTAGTTATATATGATATACTTAAATCTGGGGAAAAATAAGAATCTTTAGGATCCATTATAAGAGCATCAAAACATTTTCCTATTTGATACATAACTTTCACTATCTTCACACAACTTTATCTATAAATTAAGTTTCTCTATTCTATTTTAAATATTTTTAAAACAAAATAAGTATGTAATTTTCTTTATAAGTTTTACTTGTTGATTTTATGAATACGTTTTAGGTAAACTAATTAAAGCGTGATAAACGTGTATGCGGATAGACTTGTTGGTATACAAAATTTTATACCGGTACGTACACATACATAATTTACACAAAAATATATGCCTAGTGCTTAAAAAAGTTCAGAAATCACGAACTTAGAATCCCGATTAGAATGTTATGCGAGATCACCGAGAAAATAAACTGGTTTTAAAGTTTAAGTTTTTAGCCAAATAAAATTACGTAATCAACATGGTTAAAACATCAAAGGTCGGGCAGTGATAGAAAATCTTTTTACTACATATTTTTACCAGATTTTGTTTGATTAATACATTTTTGTTTAGAAGTACACATTTCTTTTCAAAAAACAATTTCTGCTACGAAAATCATTAATTTTATTAAGCTATAATCAATTTAAATATTTGCACATATACAAATATGTTCGAGACAAATTCACAAATGAACGTTTCTAGAATTACTAGAAGAATGTTTCTATGCGTTCAAAACAAAAAATGAAAGCTTGATATGCAAGTTGATATTTCCAAAACCTCTCACATTAAAATTGCAGCAGTATAGTCTAACTGAAAAATTCAATGTATGTATAAGCGATAATTAAGCAGTAATGTACTGTTAACGCAATTTGGAAGTCAGAGAAACTATCGAAGAGATTTTGCCAATGATTACTAATATTGTTAGAGTAAAACCCGATTGACATTGTAAATATTAACCTTTTCGAATCTTAGGATCTCAGTTTTGAATACCTGCATCAAATTAACAATATAAAATACATAAATGATTAAATTCCAAAAAATTTTGTGTTTAGGTAGACATCGTACGTAAGAAAGTCTAAAATTAGCACCTCTTATCGATATAGATTTTTTTTTTCTTTTGTAATATTTTATTTCAATATGAATAAAATATTGACCAAAGCCAATTTACTAAAAACAAAAATAAGACTAAAATATTTTCAATATTTTTGCATTAACATTTTTGAATCTGGTTTTCTGTTTTTTCAACTTTACTTCATACTTTTATTTTAGCATCTTCAATACTATTTAATATAATTATATGTTCTGTATTGGGCTTAGTTTAACTTTTATTTTCAAAGTATTGAGTGCTCTAAGTGTTGAAAAATAACTTTTTTCAAAATGAGATTAATTCTTACATCAGCTCTATTAGTAAAAACGGTAATGATCGTCGTGATAGCTCAAGGTATTGATAAAATTATATAACTTACATTATAATTACATATATGAAAAATTAAACAAAAAACCTATAAGTAGACATTTTTAAATTTGTAGCAAAATTAAAATAATTGATATTATTGCATTGTTTAATGCTTATTGCATTCATATTTTTTGTTTTAAATTAATTAATTTTCCTGAATCTATTTTTTTATTAAATTTTATTAAAGGTGACTTGCCACCTGTCAGTGAAAATTGTTTAAAATGTATTTGCGATACTGTTACCGGTTGTGACCCTAATTTTGGATGTATCGACGGATATGTTTGCGGTCCATTTAGAATAACGAAACCATATTGGATTGATGGAGGAAATAATACCATAAACGGGGAAGCTATAGACTCTCCTACAGGTATTTATGGTTTATTTAAATTTTTACATTTTGTGGCATTTCAGTCCTATAATTAACGTGTTGAAAGCGACTGTGATAAATTTGTTTTTCAAGTAGTTGAAGGGAAATGTTGTGAATTATTATTCATGCACATCTGTATGTTTTTAACTTACGAAATTAACAGAAAACTTTACTACAGCAACGCAATTCTAATTTTGTTTTCATATAATAAAAGAATGTTTGTGACATGTAATACATTTATGTACATATATTAGGAAAAAATTTTTTTACAAACTCTATGCATTCTTTATTATTATAATGTGTTAATGAAAAAGTTACAAATGTTCGTACTGCGAGAATGTATATTTCATATGAACGATATTACAAAAGCAAACAGAATTCAGTCGAATTGAAATATTTGAATTGTATAATAATTGCGGTTAAAATTGAATTAACTTCTAAAAAACTTGTGCTGGTAAATTGTTATATACCACCAAATTGTAATTCTGACGTATATTTTAAATTTTATTCAATAGTTGAAAACATTTGCAATTCTATTAGCTCACACGACAAGATTTTCTGTTTTGGAAACTTAAATCTTCCTAAAATAATATGGACGACACATAACGAGGAACCATTTTTGGTTTCATTAGATTGTGGTGATGAGCTGGAGTTATCTTTTGTGGATTCCTTTCACTTGAATAATTTCCAGCAAATTTCGTCAGTTCTGAAACACCAATCAAAGCAATTGGATTTGGTTTTTACTTCTGATCGTTCTGCCCCATCATCGGTTAAAGTTGACTTCTTTCATCCTCCAATTTGTTTTGCATATTGGATTAAGGGTTAACCATATACGGGCGAGGCCCCTTCCTACCTGTTTAATTCAAGGATAGCCATTTTCAAGGCTAATTTCAAGATTTTAAATGATTTCTTTTCTACTTACGATTTTTCTGCAGATTTTTCTTCTGATATCGAGTCAATGACGAGTATGTTTTATTAAATCATATTTGATGCGTTTTAATTATTTATTCCAACTATAAGGAATAGGGATTTCGATTCTGGTCGTCCATAATTGTCTAAGGAACTGTGAAAGTTAATAAAAAAACAAATTTTGACATAAACATCTTTCTTCTGGGAGTGCTACTGATTATGGCAACTTTTAGCTTGAGTATGATAATTTTCTGTTAGTAGCTAAACAACATTATGATATGTATGTAGATATATTTTAAGAATTTCTTACGACATCATACATAATCCTAGAAGTTTTTGGAAATTTATTAATCATAAGAAGAAATGTGATAGCTATATGATTTATCAACTTTTCGTGACTTTTTCGCCAAATTGTACTATTCTGCTCCATTTGCAGTGAACTTGGATGATTTTCGACACATCAATAACCTTCCAAAAACCACTTTTTCCAATTTGGCCACAAATTCGTCTACAGCTGAAAAATACCTCCTCAATCTTTTCCATCCCTTTTCCCGGGCCTGATGGCATTCCTGCAATAAATTTGAGTAAGCGCTGTTCTTCTTTAGCGGCTCCGCTATCTTTTAATTTCAAAAAGTTTTACTCCTCAGGAATTTTCCCTTCCGTTAGAAAGGAAGCCTTCATTAGACTGATTCATAAGATGGCCAATAAAAGTGATGTGGTAAACTATCGTCCTATTGCTAAACTTTCGACCATTCCAAAAGTTTTTGAACTAATGATATCTATTAGCAGTTACTCCTATTGCATTGCATTTATTAGTAGTTGCCAGCACGGTTTTCTGAAGAAGAAATCAACGATGACTAATCTGGTGGAAGCTGCCTCTGTTTTTTTAAATATATGGAAGATGGGTGTCAAACAATGTGATTTACACTGATTCTAGGAAAGCCTTTGACGTTTAAACCCATTCTTTGGTATCTTGAGTTAATTCTTTGGAAGTTGAGGTTATTAGGATTTCCGAATAATTGTGTAAGTTGGGTTGGCTCTTATCTTTCTGGAAGTCAAATGCAGGGTCTTTTTTTATTCATTGGTGTCATCCCCGCTTGTGGCTACTTCTGGAGTTTTCTAGGGAAGCCTCCTGGGTCCATTGCTCTTTATCAGAGCTGTTAATGACGTAGCGTCCGTTTTGAATTGCAGTGGAGTGATAATTTATGCTGATAATATGAAAATTTTCAATATGATTCGTTCTGTAGTTGCACTGGTAACAACTTGAAAATCAACGTTAGTAAATGCGCAAATGTGTTATTCCAGGCAGATACAGCCAATAATATCAGATTACACATTAAATAGTCAAATTCTTAGTGGGGTTGATTCAATTATGGACCGGGGGTTTGCTTTGATAATAAGCTATAATTCGCTAATCACCATACAACTAACTATGTGATTGGCAAGGCAAGCTCTATACTGGGATTTGTCAAGACAAACGCTAGTCAAGGGAGTTTAAAGATTCCTATATTTTGATATTCGCCTCCGGTTCGTTCCCATCTAGAATATGCCTCACAAGTTTGGTCGACTTTTTACAATATTCATAATAATAGGATTGAGTCGATTCAGAATAATTTTTTGCAATTTGCGCTTCATCACCTTGGGAAGATTCCATTTCTTTCCTCATTATGAGAACAGGCTCAAATTGATTGACTTACCAAATTTAAGTAATAGACGCATATGAAATATGATTTGATTTCTCCCGATATTTTTAATAAGATCGGCGTCAATTTTAATGTTAGGTTTCGTTCTCCTGGTGTTTTTATAGTTCTTTTTCATAGAACTAATTATGGGAGGCACGAGTCTGTCAGTAGAATGTTGAACCTGTTTAACATGTTCAAGAACATACTTGATTTCACACTAACAATAGACTCTATAAAAAAACTCTCTTTTCTAGATGATTCATTCTTTTTGTAGACATTTCTAACTTAATTAATAATAATAAGTGTATTGTAATTTTAGAATATCTGTAATCTTTTGTATGGTTTTTTTTCTGCAACCATTGTTTTTTTTGGATTTAATATAGATTTTAGTTTTCTGTAAGTCAAAATATGTAAATTGATACGTATGTACATTATATTGTAATATGTTTAACCTAAGCATGTAAAATAAAATAGAAATAAAAATAAAATAAAAACAAGCAGGCAGTCAAATTATACCGTTAACGTATTTCCGTTATCTATGATCGTAAGCAAGGTGATCAAGGCTTATTTCAAATGATTTCGAGTTAGAATTTTTAAATATGTATGTATTGATATAAAATGAAAAATATAAGTTTTTCGTTCCTTTTATTAAATAAAGGTGCATGTATGTATAAATTATAAAATGTATTATATATGAGAAACTAAAAAACCTACATATAGCACTTTATATCACTACGTACGAGTACATCTTTATTTAATATATGAAGTATGAATAGCATTCATGCTGCTTGAATTTACATTGTTTAATGCAAACATGTGTAATAATCCAACATATTAAAATTTACTCACACCTTTTTAGTGGTGTAGTTATTTTAATTTATATTTAGAAAGTTGCTAAAGAGTTAGTTAACTTCAGTGAAGCTCGAACACCAAAGTATTAGTAAAGAAACGTAGCAAATATTTCTAATATAGGTTCGAAAATTACAAAAATTCAACATGAGGAGCACAAATATGACTTAAATTGTTAAATATTTTCAAAAAGATGAAGGATTTTCGGTTATTCATACGGTGAAAGCTGAAACTGAAAGTTTTAAAAAAATTACAAAATCTTTGAAATAGCATTCTTTTATAGATTTTTAATATTCCCAATATGAGGCATTGAGCTTTATATACATACAAATGAAATGGCAACATCTATTTCCCAACCCAATGGATCATAAATATTCATTCATTTTTAGCACTTTTCCGAAAAATTTTTGGAAAAAAGTGCTTATTACTTTCACTCTGTCCGTCCGCCTGTCCGTGTGTCTGTTTACAAAACTTCTACACTCTTGAAAGTAAAAAGCTGAAATTTTATCTTTACTAGAAACTTATTTCTGTAGAAGAAAATTTTTAGGTAAATTACGGTAAATTCCATAACTCCCCAAAACCCTAAAAATGCCGTTTTTTAAATATTTATTGCGGTGAAACCTTGAGCATTTTTCAAATTTTGCAAACGCAGAAAGGCAGTGCCTTGCTTCTCCTATCGCGGCATACTATAGTCAAACTTAAAAAAAACCAAATGGCCGTTTAAATTTACCGTCATCTAAAATCCGTTTTTTCCAAATTTTTGACGTAGTTTTTCTTCTAGACCCCAGTCTGTAGAAGCTTGAAATTTTAGGAGCTTTTAGACATTAACAAATAGTTAATTTCGTTAGAAGAAATTTTTTTTCCATCTCCATCCCCTCTCAAGTTATCGTCTCTTGAAATTTGTAAAATTTGAATTTTTGACGCTCTATATTTCCGAAACCACAAGCTTTTTAAAATTTCTTTAAGTGCAAAAAGCTAACCGTAAATTCAATGACATTAAAAAATATAATTATTTTTCTTAACTCACGCAATTAGCCCTTAAAATCGAGCATTATGTTAACCGCTTTTTATATTAATTTTTGCTTTATTTCAAAGACTGCATAAAGCCATAAATCGTTCATCCTAAATATATGCAATCCTAGAAATAGTTTCGTTTATGAATGAAAATAATTTTAATAGTGGTAGATATGTATATATACACTGTATTTAAAAACAGTATTTTCACTTGTTTAAGGGAAAACTGCTACAATACAAACCATTGGTTTGACCCAACTTTATTTAAATTCTTAAATGTTCTTTTGTAACGTTACTTTGTAAACAGATTAATATTCTTTTGAATTATGTAAAGAAAATAGTAAAACTCTCTCACTCTCTCACTTGAAGTTACCATATAAAAGTTTTATTCCGAAATTTAAAAAGTAGTATTTTGCGAATTTATAATTCTAACTTTGTTAATTTCAATTGTAAAACAAATATAGTATTTTTTAATTGGATAAATTTATCATTTAATTATTAACAAAATTTTTTAGATATATTTTACGAATATATTATATATATCGTGTAATAAAATCAGAACATATAAATCTGGTTTTTTTTTATTACCACTTAGGTTACATACATACTATACATGATACTTTCTAACTTTTATAATTTTTAATTGTTGAATATACATATACGGTTTTTTAAAAACTGTTCCAGTTATATAATTATGATTTAAATTATTATATAGATTCTTAAAATTGAAATTTCTTTCAATTGCAGCTTTTGAAAATTGTGTTACTGATTATAATTGTGCAGTGCAAACAGTTCAGGGTTACATGGCAAATTGGGGTCAAGATTGCAACGGAGATGGTGTTATAAATTGTTATGACCATGGTGCTATCCACCAACTAGGACGTTACGGATGTAATGGTCAATTGCCGGAAAAATTCTTAAATACATTTAGTCAGTGTCATGGTCAAGCTTAATTTGTTTTTGGCTAAAGAATTTCACAATATAATTTTAACAAAATAAATCAATAAACCTAAAATTAACAAAAATTATGAATTTTAATGTTGTCGAAGTTTACATGATTTAGTTCTGCATACTTCCAATGAATATATATTGAAGTTTTTGAGAAAAATAATTCTTAGTAATGAAATATCTACAAAATTTATCAACCTAAAACTTATTATGTACTTGACGATTCAATGAAACAAGATTCAATGGAATTTAGAATAACATATCGCATCAATGAATCTACATCTATGAAAATCAAAATACATATAACCATCTATTCTAAGATGATAATTTTTTCATTAAAAAAAAGTAGTAATTAATTTATTTTTGTAATGTGAGAAACTTTGTAACTTAGTTGTATCACAAATGGTATAAGCAGTAATAGGGCAACTATACGTAATGGTTTTTGAAGTACCACATTTACCTTTAATACTTATAGTATTAAAAAATGAAAAATTTAATCGACGTTTGCTTAAAAATGGATGCTAAAAATCAATTTTGCATTTTGTAATGTTTTAAGTAGGTTTTATAAAATCTGTTAACTTTTTTTTTTTACAGAATTCTGAAAAAGTTTATATTTTCCAAAAAACAAATGACCTAAAATTAATATATTTTAACATTCAATCAATGAGCTTTTATGAAAAGGGGAATATGAAATTTTCTATAGCAAAATAACTTCAATCGTTATTTTTTTGTAGTTTTAACTTCAAATCGTTGAAGTTAAAGTTACTACACAAACTATTTCACGGTGTCCTGCAAAACAGAATTTATTAGAAATATTGATATTTCTTTATGATATTTTAAGGTAAAGGAAATGTAAGTTTATGCTTTGGCTCCGCGGATGTAAAAAGTTCTTACAGTTTTGATACAATTTTTATTACTAAAAAATGCCATTTCCCATACTTTTGTATATAACAAAAACTTTAAAAAAGGAATAAATCAAACAATTTTTCTAAAGAGAGTATTTACATCAAAATTTATTCATGTATCCATTCTACTCTACATGTACAGAAATTTTGAAGAAGTATCAACACCAATAACCAACTCATCAACTCTCTTTACTCAGTTCCAAAACAAAATAAAAAGAACGCTAAGTCCACATGCAAAGATCTTTAACTGGAAAAAAACTTTATAGGAAATCAAATGAAATCAAAAACTTTTTACAACAATATCGACTCGAACACTTTTACAATAATGAAAATCTTTAACAAAAATCATTTTATTATTCATACTTCATTTTTAGAAACTGATTAAATCAAATAGGAAATTTTTAAAACAATTATTAACGTTATTTTGTTTATCAGAAAACAGGTATGTAATGGAAACTTTTAACACTTTTAACAATATGATGTTATTTATTAATGCTAATTAAGCAACACTATGTTGATTTTGCTAAGCAAGAACCTATAGAAATATTATGAATGAATTTTTCGTTATCCTTCACTTGTCACGAATTTTGACTTTGTGTCGAAAATATGGAAACAAACTATCGGTTCGTAGTTTGTAACATTATATAACATGCGATGGAGTAAGAGATCTTTTTTGTAACGAGCAAACTAAAGGAACGAAAAATTTTATCCTTTTTATGAGTAGATTTTCTTTCCACATTTTTTGCCTGAATTGTAATGAAAATACAAAACATGCTTCACATTACACACATTACACACGGCGCTAAATTTTGATACCGCTTATACAATGTTTAAAACTAACAGTAATTCGTGCTAATATTACCCTCGTGTAATAAGGTGTACAAGTAAAACTTATAGAAGTAGAAATATTTTGATACACTTTTAATATACGTATACTAAATGTTGAACCTCAACAATTTGAAGCGCTGTGAATCAACATATTGCTGCTTACGAAAAAATCTGACTCTATCGTTGACATGATATAAATGTACAATTATTGACATATCTTTATGAGAAAATAATTTTAAATGCAATTTAAATAAAAACAAGTAAAACCGTTTCAGTCAGTATAAACCGATCGAATTATACCCTGCACCTTTCGTTGTTGTATAGCAATTACTCAAACCTGTGAAACCATTCTATAGAAACTTCACGGATATGTCTGACCTATAACTAGACATACAACTGCACAGTTTCATGAATCTGACTTTATTTTTTTCCAAATACTTAAAATAAGTATGGGAGCTACTCAAACCTGTCAAGCAATTCAACCAAAACTTCAGAAATATATCTGACCTATAACAGAATACAAAATTGCCAAGTTTCATGAATCTGACTTTATTATTTTGCGAAATATAAAAAATTTGTTGTTGGAGTTGTATAGCAGCCACCCGAACCGGTGCAGCTATCCCATTATAATATTTAGAGCATGTAGAGTATAATTGGACACATGTATACAATTTTATATTTATGGCTTTATTAGTTTTTGAAATATTTAAAATAAACTCTTTGAGTTGTATGGCAGCTACCCGAACCCGTTGTGCGAATTAGTCCAATAACAATAGGGCTCGTCCTTGGCACAAAAGAAAAAACTTGTGAAAGTTTGGTGTCGGTTGTATTATTCGTTTTTGAGTTATCGTGCGATCGGATGGACGGACGGACGGACGGACGGACGGACGTACGGACGGACATGTCTAAATCGACGCAGAATTTTACGCTGAGCAAGAATATATATACATATGTCCATATCGCAAATGACTCCTTCAAGTAGTTACAAACTCCGTACCAAAGTTAATATACCCTTCACGAAGTGCAGGGTATAAAAAAGTGCTTTTTCGTTCACCTTTAAAAAAACAAAATGACCGTTAAAATTACCCGTTATCCAAAATCCGTTTTTTTTTATTTTTTTATAATAAATAATCGTCCCTCGAAATTCGTAAAATTCGAATTTTCGGCACCATTCCGAATTTCTATAAATACAGTAAGCTAACGGTAAATGCCATACCATTAAAAAATATAATTATTTCTGTTAACTGACGCAATTAACCCTTCGAATTCGAGCTTTATATTAAAGCTTCTTTGAATTTTTTTTGATTTATTTCAAAGAATTCGTACATTATTCATCCTAAATGATATTCATCCTATGTGATATTGATTATTTTAAAAGCAATATTTTCACCTGTTGAAGGGAAAAGTCATACTTTGCAAACCAGTTACAATTTATTGTTTTGACACAACTTTATTTTTATTAAGAATTGATTTTTGTTACCGATATGGAGAGTAAAACTACATACATACTATACGCACGTAACCACACCACCAAACGCAAAGTATTTATCGTACCTAAAAATAGGCCCGGAATTACGACTTTGCACTGGGCCCGTTTTAGCCTTAGTCCACCAAAAATTTAGTTATTTATTTTATTTGAAATTTCAATGGAAAATGTTATCATTAATAATAATTGCTGAGTGATTTTTATGCTACGGAAATACAATAATAAAAACATATGTATGTATATCAACAACCATTGAGTGACCTTGACTTTACATATTCAAAATAACTGAAATAAACAACAAAATAAAACATGAAGCGTTTTCAATTATTAAACTTCGTTATCTGACATAATTCGAAATTTTGGAAGTAATATAAAAATTTTTGTAAATAATTTTAAAATTTTAATATTATAATAAAATAATTCTAGAGACATAAATAAAATAGTATGAATAATATAAAAGAATAAATAATATTGACATTTTCACTTCTTTAATTATTTATGAAGAACTAGCTTCCTAAGTAGATGGTGATTTTATTCTGAGCAAAATGATCAACTTAGCACTGTGCGAATATTGTCCAAAAGATATGTACGGATGAATAACGATTACGTGAAATTTAAAACTTTCGGTACTCCAAACAAAAAGTTAACATCAATTAGGTAACTGATAAAGAAATAAAAAATTTCTGTTTCTGTTTGAGTAATTTTAATCTGTTTGAGTAATTTTAATTTTCAATAGGTCAAATTTTTTTGTATATGTATACGAGTACTACGTCTTATTTTATTTTCCACTGCTATACTAAGCTATTTGTAGTCGAATTATTTTTTCTCTTGATTGTTCATTGGTTTGTCAGACAAAAGCTGATCGTTTTTTTTTTATTATGATGTACATATTTAATACTTTTTTGACAAGAATTAATTGTAATAGTTCAGTATCCGTAAATTTGACGTTTTAAAAAACCTCCGCACTAAAGTTGAAGTTGATTCAACTTTTTGAGAGGAAGAAAAAAAGCTATACTTAAAATAAAGAGAATGTCAAAAATTCAAATATTCATACAAAATACATCAGCTCGTCGCAAAAGCGACGAACCAATGAATCCAGCTTAACTGCCTGATCGTGTATCTCGCCTTTTTTACTCAATTTTTATTCACTTTCAAATCAGAATTATAGGTATTTTCTAATGGATGTTTAACTTTTCAAATAAGATTACTCATTTTTAAATAAGATTTTTGCTTTTTTTCTTAAATTATCGACTAAATGTTTCACTTTTAAAAACAAAGTGAAAAGCTTTTGTATACAATTTAAAAAAAAAACGAGATACGCAATCGAAATAATTCTTCTCACTCGAAAATTACATTGCACAAGTATGTACATATATGATATTTACTCACTTGCTTCTTACTTTCCTAGTAAAATAGCGAGATAGACGATCAGACCCTAAACTAAATGAATCATGTTGTTTATAATATAAACATACGTGCATACATATGTATATACATCAATTCATCATGATATCCACATATATACATATATACATCAGAATTTCACAACTTGCAATATAAATTTGTGTATACAAATATGTCACGACTTGTCTGATGACAACAATTATTTACATATACACATACATCTGGACATAAAATTTGTGTAAAAACTTAATTTTCAGTTTAAATATGTAATTGATAATGAAATCCAAGTAAAATGGTGTTAAATTCCGTTATAAAGAAAAATTATAAATTTCATTTTGCTTTTATAATTTTTAACTAAACAAAAATAAAAGTGAAATTACAATAAACAAATAAAAAAT